ATTAATTAAATCATCAATCCCCATCTTTATGATTTAACCATTTAAAAAGAAGTAAAACAAAAGAAAGATGAGGCAGACCCACTTCCAAAAACTAGTAAAGTCAAGGGAGCAATAACGAGTGGATTAACCTAAAAATGTTTAAATAACAATCAATTGAAACCCGAAATAGTGGGAAAAAAGGGGTTTGTAAAACAAATTTTAAACCGCACAATGCTTAAAGGCTACATAAATCTCGCAAAAACAGTGCGTAGATTGCCTCAAAATCAGCCCATAAAAATGCCTCAAAACAGTGATTAAAACAACCCCACAAATGATGGGTTTAATGCCTCCAAAACAGCAGTCAAAGTTCTCAAAAATCAGCAATAAAAGAGTAATTTTTAAAACTCCCAAACAGCTCTCATGTAAGCTCAAAACATCAATTTTAAATATCCCAAAATCAGCTTGGAAAATCCAATCCAAAATAATGTGTAAACTCTCCAAAATCAGTTAACAAACTGACTCTAAAATAGTACGTGAATCAACAAACAATGCCCTAAAAATTGCAATGTTTAAACCTATCAAACAACAATTAAAACAACCCCCAAGGGAGACATTTGGAAATAAAAGAAAATAAACCTGCAAAGAAACATTCAAGCCCTAGAATAACGGTCATCTTGAGCCTCGTAGTATTCCCTTTTGAGTGCTCGAAGTACGTAATCAGCAAATGAGTATTTAAGATCGATAAGTAAATGGTCATTGGAACCTCACAATATTTGCATTGAAGTGCTTGAAATATAAAACCAACAACAGAGCATTTAAAATCAGCAAGTAAATAATCATTGGAACCTCACAATATTTGCATTTGGGTGCTTGAAACATAAAACCAACAGCTAAGCATTTAAAATCTGCAGTAACGTATAATCAAAATAGTGTTTATAATTCTCCAGAATTAGTAAGCATGTATGGCCAAAACAACATTTTATTCTTCCAAAACCACAAGTTTATAAGGCTCGAAACAACATCCATGTCATTCTAAAACTTTCAATTCAGCAGGTAGGCCTACAAAAATCGAAGTTTATGTGTATTGTAAAAAATAATGCATTTCATTAAACAATTCAGGAACTAACTTAATATCCGTAAACTTTATAAACATATTCATCAATAAACTCCTCAGCTTCAATTAAAATAGAATTCCCTTCTCCATCAAATAACAATGTTCCATATAGATCAGAGATGAGTTCACACAAGCTTTCAGCGATGGTATTAGAGCATGCAACTTAAATTTTGAAGGTGAAGGAAAATATTTCACGAGTAAATTTAACAGAAGTCTATCAAGATCAGGAGAACAAATTTACTTGAGAAAGATTTCAATACCCAAGTACAACATGAACATCCCATTGCAGATTTCAAAAATTCCTTACATTGAATAGTGGGTCCAATTCATTAAATATGAATACGTTTACGAGATG